TAATTTAAATTTATCATACACATTGTTGGTTTCTGAATTAACTGTAGAGACTCATGATAAAATTCAAGGTATCTTTGTGGACAGTTCAATTTAAAACCTTTTTGCAATGCACAGCAGTGATAAAAACAAAAGTAATACTGAAAATATCATTCCATTATATAAATTGATGATAGCGCCTCACCTGGAATATTATGTTCTGTTCCAGTTATATATAATTTAAAAAGAGCAGAAATAGAAGGGGTCCAAATACAGGTAGTGAACATTATTAGACGCATGGAGAGACTTCCATGTGAAGAGTGATTGAAAAGATTGGGACTCTACCTTCTGGGGATAAAAAGAGGGGAAATGGTATAAATATGCAAAAAATGAACAGTATAGAGAAGTTAATTAGGGCTCTTCTAGTTTCCCTCAACTAGGGGGTCGTCCATTTTGGATCTGCTTTTCACCAACAGGGATGAGCTAGTTGTGAATGTAAGGTGATCGGGAACTTGGGAGGAAGTGATCATGATCTGATAGAATTCAAGATCCTGAGGAAAGGAGGGCATGAGAACAGCAAAACAAGGACACTGGACTTCAGAAAGGTGGATTTCAACTGACTCCGAGAAATAGTAGGCAAGGTCCCATGGAAAGACCAATTAAGAAGAAAAGGAGTCGAAGGGGGCTGGCAGTTCTTAAAAGATATAATATTAGAGACTCAACATCAAGCTATTCCGATACAGAGGAAAGATAAGAGCCAGTATGGCTGCACAAGTAGCTTTTTAGCTATCTAAAACCCAAAAGGGATACTTACGGGAAATGGAAGGAGGGGCATGTCACCAAGGAAGTATATATGGGAATAATGCAAGCGTGTAGGGCCAAAATCAGGAAAGCCACAGCAAAGAATGAGTTACAGCTGGCAAGGAATGCTAGAGACAACAGGTGGGGATTCTTCAAATATGTTCAGACAAAAGAAAGATCAAAGACCGTGTGGGTCTGCTGGTTAACCAAGAAGGTGAGCTGGTAACAGAAGATTATAGGAAGGTGGAGCTGCTCAATGCCTACTTTGTTTCAGACTTCTCACAAAAAATAATGTGATCGGATGACTAGCGAAGTTACCATAGACAATAAAGGGGAAAGGATGCAGATCGGGATAAGTAAAGAACATGTCAGAGATCTTCTGACCAATTTGAATTAATTCAGATCAGTAAGGCCTGATGCTATTCACCTGAGGGCACCGAAGGAATTAGCTGAAGAAATCTTGGAGCCACTGGGAATAATATGTACAAACTCATGGATGACAGGAGAGGTCCTGAAAGATTGGAGAAGGGCAAATATAGAGCCCCATCTTTAAAAGGGAGGAAAAGAGGAGCCAGGGAATTATAGACCAGTCAACCTGACCTCGATATCTGGGAAGCTAATAGAGCAATGTGTAAAACATTCAATTTGCCAGTACCTGGAGGATGAAGGGGTAATTACTAGCAACCAGCTTGGATTTACCAAGAACAAATCATTTCAAACCAGCTTGACTTTCTTCTTAGACAGGGCAACTGATTTGGTGGATAGGAGGAACGCTGTAGATATAATATACCTGGACTTCAGCAAGGCTTTTGACACAGTCCCACATGATATTCTGATATGTAAGCTGGCGAAATGCAGGCTTGTCATTAAGTGGACACACAATTGGTTAAACAACCGCAAACCAAGAGTAGCTATTAATGGAATGATGGATTTGGAGGGAGGTCTCAAGTGGAGTTCCACAGTGATCTGTTCTGGGTCCGGTGTTGCTTAACATCTTTATTAATAACTTGGACGTAGGAATAGAGAGCATACTGATCAAGTTTGCAGATGACACAAAGCTGGGGAGGTTGCCAACACTTTAGAGGATAGAGCTAAAATTCAGAGGGATCTTGATAAATTCAGCAAAGACAAATATTAAGGTGCTACGCTTAGGGAAGAAAAACCAAATGTACAAATACAGAATGGGGGGAAACTGGATTGGCAGCAGTACTACTGAAAAAGATCTGGGAATTGTGGCTCACAACCTCAATGTGATGCAATGCTGTTGCAAAAAAAAAGCAAATGCAGTTTCAGCTTGCGTTAACAGAGGCATAGCATGCAAGTCACGGGAGGTGATAGTACCGCTCTGCTTAGTGCTGGTTTGACCTCAGATGGAGCACTGTGTCCGGTTTTGGTCACTAATGTATAGAAAGGATAAAGAGAAACCAGAAAGAATCCAGAAGTGAGTGACAAAGATGATCAAAGGGATGGAATGCAGCCATGTGAGCAAAGGCTGAAGGAACTGGGTATGTTTAGTTTGTAAGAGAGAAGATTAAAGGGGGATATGATAGTGGTCTTCAGATACCTGAAAGGCTGCCATAAAAAAGATGGAGAAAAGTTGTTCTCTTTTGCCAGAGAGGGCAAGACAAGTGGCAATGGGTTCAAACTACAGCACAGCAGATTTAGATTAAATCTCAGGAAAAACTTCCTAACTGTAAGAACAGTGGGACAATGGAACAGACACTTCGGGAGGTTGTGGAAGCTGCTTTACTGGAGGTTTTCCAAAGGAGGCTGGAGAGCCATCTGTCTTGGATGGTTTAGACACAACAAATCCTGCATCGTGGCAGGGGTTAGACTAGATGACCCTTGCAATCCCTTTTAACCCTATAATTCTATCATACAAGAACAAAGGGTAAAAAAAATTGAAGGTAACAAATTTAAAACAGTAACATCATTTTTTTACAAAATGAATATTTAATTTGTGGCATTCATTGCCACGAGGTATCATTGAAGCCAAAAGGTTTGTAGGAGTCGAAAGAGGATTAGACATTTGTCTGTCTCTCTCATTCTCTCTTTCATCCTGGAGCATCTTTGCAGAGATGGGGAGAAGTACAGTGTCGCCACTCATTCCTGTCCATGGCTTGTTCCTCCATTAAGCCCAGCCATGGTTATGTTTCTGCATATGATGTCCTGCCATCTAGATGGTAGTTGACCTCTAGGTGGGACTGACCTTGGTTGTGCTTGCATTATTTTGTTTGGCATCCTGTCATCTGTTTGTCATCTGCAGTGTCCCCACCATTGTAATCTTTTCAATTTTGTAACCAATCTTATACCCTGATTTCACAACCTACTCTCCTTCTAACTTCTTCATTGGTCTTAAATTCATACCATTTTACACCTGCCATTTTTTGAAGAACTCTCTGCCTTCAGCCTTATGATGGCTGCTTCCAGTGTTTCTTAACCTTTACTGCAGCCTGCACCCTTTTGGTTCTCAAAATATGTTCTTGCACCACTTATCAAAAATCAAAATATGTTCTTGCACCCCTTAAACCTAGATATATTTTTGTTTGTATATTACAGTAATTATTAAATATATAATGTTAATAAATACATAGGTTTGATGAAACAAAGTAGTTGTACTTCTGTGCCTGTGCTTAATTTGTGTTTTCGATGATTTACCTTCTAAAAAAATCTGGCATGTCTCACACCCCCAAAAGGGCATCTTGCACTCCCAGGAGGTGCGTGCACCCCAGGTTAAGAACCACTGCTATAGAGTATTACTGTTAGCTATTTATACAAATAATGAACACACAGTCAGTTACATTAGATACAATGAAACTAAATTGCATCCTTGAGGAATCTGTCTGTACAGGATCAAGGATATAAAAATAGCCCCAAGTAAACAGGTGGTTGAGTTATTTTTGTAACATATATGGCATATACAGAATACATGACAGTGTGGTATGCCATAAAGGTTTTATTGACAATCATTTGGGATTTCCTGATACTGAAAACTCATGTTGTTAAAATCTTTGTACTGCACTATTCTGTATTCTCTGCATAATATATGATATGCAGAAGTGAACAAAAATGTATGAAAGATTGCATTTAACAAGGAAAGCAAAATACATATTTTTCAGCGTGGCCAAATTAACACAGCAGAAAGAACCTTTACATTTTGGAATTCCTTAATTGAATGCTTGGTTCCACAACCTGAATGTTGCATTAACATTAGCTTTTTGCACTTAATATAGAAAGGCGCCTAGTGTATCAGCAGGTCGGGTTCTTAATTTGCATGTGATTAGTCGCTGTGCTTCTAAAACTCCCAGCTGTTTATTTTAATTTTCCCAGTTTATAAACTAGCTGTTAGGATCTCTGGGCATGTGAACAATGAAGGATTTAAAATACCCAAATAGTAAATAATCAAATTGACATGATGTCAGAGATGACACTCAAAGGACTTCCATAGCCTAATGAACCCCTTCTTTCCCACCCTTCCAGAAAAATTTGAGAGTGAAATTCTCCCTTGTGCAGAGACCCACATGAGGTCTGTGCATCTTTGACTTACATAGTGCATAGGCTTTGTATGGCCTGCTTTATAGAGTTGAACTTTGTCTTGGGTAAACAGAAGAGCCTGTCAATGTGCTCTGAATGGCAACATACTCTACTTCTGTCAGACCAAGGGAGGAAGTCTGTTCCAGAACATGAGGGGCCTTGACATATGCAGACAGACAAAATAAGGAACTGGTAGCAAGTCTGGCCTAACTGATTTCAACGATCAGGTTAAAGCATAAAGAGTGAGACAGTTTCTGAATTAGCAGGTGTGAGGTCTGAGCACTGAGATGAGATTAAGAGGTATGGGATGGATAGAGGTCTTCTCTGTGCTAATAGTTAGACCTGGAAAAAGAGATGGATCTTCCTTATTATTTTGTTTTAACATTTACAATGTGGTAGCACCTAGAGGCCAGCCAGTCTAGGTGCTGTCCAAACATACAGTAAATGACAATTCCTTCACCAAAGAGTTTGCAGTCTAAAAAGTGAGTAAAATTTGTTTTTGGAGCTTTCTGTGGAGTAAAACACAAACTTTTGGAAGTAGATCTAGGCAGGATCTTCTGATATGTTTAGTGTATGAAACAACAAGTTAAAGTACAAAAATATATTTAAAGTAAGAACATTTCTTTAAAATGTAAAAATCAATGGAAAACATCTCGCAATTTTTCTGTGTTTTGTTTTGTTTCTCCTAGGGTGCCATATGCCTGATACATTGAACTCTTGGTTTCTAATAGCCCAACTTCATGTCTGGTAAGTGAAAGTTATAATGATAAGTTGTTTATTTTCATGATGCAGACTGAAGCAATCCTGTCAGGTCAAAAAGCAGTTCCATGGTTATGACAAGAAACATTCTATTTGTTTGTTAGCTTCTGTGTTTTAGCAAATTTTTATTAAAGGTCAAACAGACCCAAAGAGAAACTAATATTTGTAGTATTCTCGAAAATCCTCAGTAGCAGAAAGAGCATTGCCATGAGCTTATCAAAAAGCCTCACTCAGGCTGGATGGAAAACTCTCTTTAGCTGTTTTAGGAAAAGTTTACATTTACGTAAAAGTGGTTTAAATTGTGAGAATTTGTGGTGATTTTAATTGCTGGCTGTCAGAAACCTTTAACAAATTATAGCACTGACATTTACACTTGCACCTCTAAAATGGCCGTGCAGGGTCAGTAAATGCCAGATTGGGTGCATGTAAAAATATTTAATGCCATAAGCAATATTTTTTCTTCATTTGTGAAATAGCCAAAAAAAATCTAATTTTCATCTAACATAACACATTCGAAAAGGTCAGAGGGACGTAGCAGGGACACACAAGGGAATACAGTATTTTCCAGACTGCCAGTTCTCTAAGGAACCTAACGTCTGAAGAATTAAGTTTACTACTGTAACCTATAGGAGCTATCCACAGGCCAAAAGGAATTTCTGGGAAGAAATAGTCACTTGGCCCAGCAACCCTGTCCCCCTCATTTTTCTGCATCTCTTATTTCCCTTCCCGTCTTTCCCCCTTAATTTCCAGACTCTGAAATGTATTGAGAGTCTTTGCATCTTACTTCCTTGGCAGCTTATTCCACTTAAAAAACTGTTAACATAACATTTGAAACCTGTATTGGATATATATGAATATGTTGTGTGATTATTTAATGAAAGGCCCTATTGTATTGCATCTTTTTGGTCACAGAGTTGGGATTAGTGTGGGCACCTTAAATAATAATTTCCTGACTATTTGGGTTTAAATTTTCGACCTAAAACTATGTTCGTACTCTGTTACCTTGCTTTTTAAATATGTGCGAATCAGACTGAGAAACAACTTTGGTCTTAAAACAAAGAAACCCTAAAAACATTTAATGGAAATATTAAAATTGCCTCTGTTTGCCCTTCCCTTAATTTCCCTTCCATTACCTCACTGAAAGATTCATTCCCCCCAACAACATAAGCAGAACCTCTTGCAATTATCTGTGTGGGTAGCCAAAGTGCTGGAAAGAGTTTATCTTCAAAGGTAAGGCTGCTACTGCTCCAAATAGCCTGTTATTACTTGCAGCTAACCATAGGCACATGTGGCCTCCCAGATCTTCACCCAGTCACATGCTTCTCCTTTTCACTTCCAGTCCGGGTTCTGCTGTACCCTAAGATGTTTGAGGTTCTTTCTGAAGATACATTGGCAGTTTCTTATATTCTTCTATTTTAGAGGAAGGGGAGTTCATGGTGTTTTAATGTGTGTCTTGCATTGTCCATCAGCCTTCTTTAATATTTCTTTCCATTGCACCTTCATTAGATTTAATTCCTTAAAACCTGTTTTCCTTATAGCTAATGGTCTTATTCTGCTGCACATTCTCCTCCTTGGTCCGCTCCTATCCCCTAATTATATACAACTCTAAACAAAGTTTTTTTCTCTTTCAAGTACTTTAGGAAAATTATGTATCCTGCTTAGCAATGATTTGGCCAAACAGTGCATATTTAGCTACTTTAATCTTTCCTCCTAATTAATTGCCTTCAGCCCTCTGTTAATTTTGGTTGCTAGTTTCAGATTTCTTTCCAGTCCTTTGACATCTTTCTGTTATTGGAGTTCCCACAACTGAAAACAATATTCCAAGGAGGGTGACTAGCTTTTATACTAAGGGACTATGTGGGCACAAGACCAAATGGGTATAAACTGGCCATTTGTTCCTGGATAAATGTCTGATTACACCCGAAGTCTGAGGGCCAGTGTCTTTTGAACCTCCTCAACTGAGATTGTGAGTTTCCTCGGGCTTTTTCTTCAGGTCCTATTCTCTCCGGTCCAGACCTGCCCAAAGTTACACTCCTTGTAGTGGCCGTCGCAGAATCAGTGCCCCTGTTGTCCACAGGAGTCATTATGTCTGTCCCTTGTCTTCTGGCAGCTGTGTTACCTTCTTTCTGAGTAGCAGCGAGCCCCTGCTCCTATGTAGGTGTGGGACAAAGACACTTAAGGCATAAGCCTATTGTCACAGGGAAATCTGACCCATGGACCTTGAGGTGTGTTCCTGTGTGAGGTGTGTTCCTTGGATAGCAGTCTGCATTTTCTACCACCACTTTTGGGTCCTTGGCTTATTTCCTTCTCTAGCATATCAGGAGCCATCATTCCCTTCGTAGAAGGCCCCTGAATGGCTTGAGTGACCAGATAGTCCTCCATGAGATATGTGGCCTCAGCTAGGGTTACTGGCCATTATCGGCAAAACCAGTCTCAACCAGCAGTCAGAAGAATCTGTATGAACTGTTATAGGACTATGAGTTCAGCTACCTGGGGTCAATATAAAATCCCAGGCAAAAGCTTCAGTGAGATAGTTTTTAAGTTCTAAATACTATGATATCTATTAATTTAAAGCATTGTATTTATTAAAATAAAAACACAATATCCTTCCTTTTGAAAGTCAAGGAATTCAGAGTTAAAGTTCTAAAACCAGCATTTTGAAAGTGAGAAAACCTTTGGCTTAGAAAGCTTGGGAATACTCAATTACAATTTAACAATAGCTTTAACTCTGCCACTTCACTCTGATTTATTTTCACTGTACTTATGGGAAAACCCCACAAGTTGTTACACAAACCAAAGTCTGTCTTGTTTTATATGGATTATAATAGGATTTTTTGTTGTATGATGAAGTAATAGGCTAGAGGGTGACTCACATCTCAGGCTCATTGGATGAGTAAGGTTTTGATTGCTCTGGCTGGTATATACAGGGTAACTTGGAAGAAGATGGTCTGTAGCCTGTGTCTGAAGCATTTGATCTCAGACCAGTATGGGAGGATGAAAGAAAGGGTACTCATCAACTGTTGTTCTTTGAGAGTCTGCACTCACCCTCCCTGGCCACCTTCCACAGCCCTCCAGCACAGACACACCAAAGTGAGAGCTGTACTGACGGTTGAGAAGTGAGTGTCGATTGCACTGCGGAAGCTTGCAGCACCAGATTGCAACTGGTTAGCTGGGAATCAATTTGGAGTCAGGAAATCCACGGGGGAGGCAGTTGTCATGCAAGTGTGCAGGACCATTAAACGCCTCCTGCAACATAGGATTGCGACTCTGGACAATGGGAAGGATATAGTGGATGGTTTTGCAGCAGTGGGGTTCCCGAACTGGGGTGGGGCGATGGATGGCACGCATATCCCTATTTTAGCACCAAACTACCTTGGCACAGAGGATGTCAACAGAAAGGATTACTTTTCTATGGTAATGCAGGTGCTGGCGGATCACCGGGGACATCAGTGTGGGCTGGTCAGGAAAGTTGCATGGTGCATGCATCTTTAAGAACACAGATCTATTCAGAAAGCTGCAAGAAGGGACTTTCTTTCCCAACTGGCGGATTACCACTGGGAATGTTGCAATGCCTGTAGTGATTGTGGGAGACCCAACCTTCCCCTTGCTCCCATAGCTCATGAAGCCATACATAGGCCACTTTGACAGCACCAAGGAGCTCTTCAACTGTCAGCTCAGCAGGTACAGAATGACAGTTGAATATTCCTTTGGTTGTTTGAAGGGTTGCTGACATAGTTTACTAACAAGATTGGACCTCGGTGAGAAAAAAAAAATCTACATATAGCTGTCTGCAGTGTCCAGCATAATATCTGTGATACAAAGGGGGAAAAGTTTCTGCCGGGGTGGAAGTGGAGTGTGTGTCTGCTGGTTTTGAACAGCCAAATACCAGGGCTATAAGAGCAGCTCAACCATTGAAAGACCATTTTAATAGTGAGTAGTGTGTGTTGCTGTAGTGTGCTCTACCTGGCCTTGCTCTTTTGCAGCGTGGTATAAATCTTGTAGTGATTGCTGTGTACATAGGAATATAATGTTGTCAATGGACCTATTAATATTATCTGTGATTGATGCTATGGGTTCTATGACAAAATGAAGTAACAGTAAATTGGTGGGTGTCAGACCTGCTCAGCACCAGACAGCATATGTTGTGAACTAATAAAGATTAATTTTATTCCAAAAAATAGAATTTTATTCTGTAACATGAACCAGGTAATTAAAATAAAATTAAAACTTAATAAATTAAGGGAACAGAACTTAGGGAAAGAACGCTCCATTTCAGGTACAAAACTTCAAAAATGTGAGGGCCTTTAAAGGGGAGGGGGGCTCCTGTCTACCAGATCCCTCGGTAGCAGAGTACAAAACGGTGACCAAAGCAGTCAATGTGGGGCATTGTGGGAGAGCTCCTGAAGGCCAGTAAAAGTAGATGCAAGTAACAGTGTCTACACTATCACTGCACTGATCTAACTTCATCGACTGTGGCTCTACACCACTCGGGAAGATGGTGTTAGTATGTCAGCGTAGCAGGGCACTTACGTCAGCAGAAGCCAAATGTAAGTGAAGACACATCTACAGCTAGGTTGATGTAAGCTGCCTTGCATTGACCAGCCATGTAGCATAGGCCAGGCCTTGGTGTATTTGTCAGATAAGTCCTTAAACTGAAGCTTTGGTGGTCAGATGTGAAATGACTGTTACTTAATTTGAAACTATTAGTTTAACTGCTGATTAATGGTGTGAAATTTAATTTGTATCAAGTAGGTTAATGGTGATTAGTCAGGTATAAAATCAAAGTTATTGTCTTTTAATAAGATTAAAGAGCGTCTAGCTGTATTTCACTCACTGGAAATGAAAAGATTTTAAATGTATTTTTGTGTTGGAATTGCATGGTTGTTCTAATCCAGTTTATTATTTGGCTGTAATAAAAACTTTTGCAGTACAATTATTTCTTCATTGTATTCATCTAATTTATTTTGTCAGGCAATATGATTTTGCCTAGTTTCCTCACTACTAACTTCAGATATTGCATTGGAAACAATCTGGGTCATTTGGTGGGCCATCCACCTGTAGGACACTTACTGATTTAAAAAGGGTGCCCCTGCTTGTGCATCTGAAGACAGAATTTGTCCCTTAGATTTGATTTCAGTGTACGTACAGCATAAAGGATCCAATCTGACTCTAACTGGTTAAAAATGCAAGTATTTTAACTGACTGTGGGTACTATCTACTTTTTCCACCACGAGTGCAGAACAGTGATTGTTTTAGGTACCCAGATAAAAAGGCAATATTTATAAGATATTTTAAGCTTAAAAATATCATAGTTTTAAAGTAATGATGCAAACAACTTTTTAAAACTAGTAATCTGAGTGTGGAACAGTTTCACCTTAGTAGTGTGACAAAGATGAGTCCAGATTTGAATGGACTACAGAATGTGTTCTGTAGTGAAAAAGTAAAACAGTTCATACCGTGTTGATCTAGGTATAAAGTTTATAGTCTAAGAAAATCTGTGTCTTTTAAACCTCAGATGGCAGGTGTAGTAACAAACGACCAAATTTTCAAATAAACTGCAGAATTCCATGACCTCACTCTTAGTGCTGCTGAACTGCACTATGACAGAACTATGCATCCAAACACACAGCATCCATTCAGGCTTCAAGAGGAACAAGGTTTACTTTGAAAACTACTCCATTCTTGCATTACTAGTGATGAATTGTAATTATTGGTCTGTTGCACTCCTGCCTTCTACCATGACACCACTGAGGGATACTGCAGCTTGGATGGGTAGCAACATTTGTATTGAGGGAATCTCTTGCCAGGGCTCCTTGCTTTCTTCCTTGGCTTGACTACCCAGGCTGTAACATATAAAACCACTCTTCTTATCTGGAGTTGGGCTCCCAAACATGGTCTTTCGTTATCTGTCTTAGTAGGTGTGGGGAAAGCAATGGGATTCCAAGATTATTACTGATCATAGTGTTTGTATGGGCAGGACTTTGCAATCGAAATACACAGGACAGACGAATGATGGGTAAAAGGATGCATTATCCTCATTTTACACATGGAGCTGAGGCACAGAGGGAGTTTAAGGCCAAAGGTCATATAGGGAGTTTGTGGCAGGACTGGGAATTGGACCTATATCTCCTGAGTCCCAGCCCAGTGCTTTAACTGCAGGCTTATCCTTCCTGTCTGGATGGGTATGATGCACTCTGCTTCACTCTGTAACCTTCCCTATTCTGCACTACCTGCCAGGGCTGAAGGAAGGATGGTACTGCCAGGCTATGGAGGGATCATTGGCCCATCTTCACAACCACTCTGGAAGTCACCACATGAGCCTTGGGAACACCACACAGTCCAGAGCATTTTCCAAGAAGAAAACCTGACACATTTTTAGGGAATTTCCCCATCCCTCTATCTTCCCTAAGCCTCTCTCACTCTGCCCCATCCTCACCCCCCCCCCTTTTGCCCATTCCTCTCTCCAGGTCCCTCTAGCCATCTCTGTTGCATTCCCTCCCCACTTATCCCTCTACTTTAGACTCATTCTCATTCTGTCTTCCTCCATCCCTTCTACCCTTCCTCTCTCACTTTGCCCCATCTCTGTCCTCCCCTTCCCCTCTGGCAATGCTCCCTGTGTCCCTCCATCCTTCCCATATCACTCTCCCCCATCTGTCTTTCTTCCCTCTGCTCCTCCTATGACCCTCGCTTCTCCTCCCCCTCTTGCTCTGAATCAAGGGGCTAATCAAATGCCCTGAACCACGCTGAGGGGCTAATGGGGTAATGAACCCTCCACTGCCAGCACTGGTAGCTACTGCCAGACATTAGAATAAGGTTTTAAGTTTGTTGTGAAGTGCCCTGGGTTACTCAGCAAAGCTTTCAGGTGCGCTTCCCATGAGCTGGAGCATCCAGTACCCACCAGTCAGAATACACAAGCACAAGAAGTATAAAACCATGCAAGAAAGAGAAAAGAGGACAGGAGGCCAGAGGCAGAAGGTGTGACAGAGCTGGCCTTAACCTTCCCTTCCCTATCCCAAGTCCTCCATAACCAGTTCCAGCCGATCAACATTCACCATTTCCAGATGTCTTCCATCAAGAAATTAGGTCCATGAGATGTTTTTAAAACAAACACTTGTGTGCGGTTTGGAAAATGTGGCTCTATTCTGAAAAGTGTCTTGGTATAAATGGCTTCATGGGGCTCTAGTTTTATTGTCCATCAGTAACTCACCTCCAGAGTAATTTTTGCTCCATTTACAAGAAAAAGATGTTTTTTTCTAATGGTCAGGACCCTGTCTGGAATCTGAGAGAGAAACTGATTTCTTTCCTTTTTGCACATCATCCCCAATAATAAAGATTCTGCAGCTAATTTATTCTTTCTACTGAGGCAGCAGCCACAATGTGATAAGCACTGCCAATGTGCATAGGTAGACACAGGTCTTGTGTACATTAGAGAAACACACAGATCTAAGTACCATTTTAATCTCCTAGCCTATGCACTTTGCATTCACACATGAAAGTGCTCCAAATGGTTTACAAGCACGCTACGAACCAAGCAGAGTAGAGTATGTTTTTTCAGGGCTAAATACCAGTTTAGCCTGAGCTGTTTTAATGCCAGTTTTGATGCAGAGAAGCTGAAACAGTTCAACCTAGTTCTCCTACTAATGTCCCACAGTGCACTTGGAGCCTTGCAAAGTCTCCCAGAATGCACTGGTCTGGAGAGTGGGACATTGCAGCTGAAACAGTTTAGGGCAGTGCTAGGGTTTGTCTGCATGAACACTTCATTCACAGCAAGCTGAGCTGTAAATCTGCCACATGCTGAGTTTCCGTTGGTATGTGTAGACCCTGCTGCTGTGAACTAAAAATTTTCTAGTGCACTTTAATCTATTCCCATTTCAAAGCAAGGTAGATCAAAGCACACTAGAAAACTTTTTGTGCACTGTAACAGGGTCCAAGTAGACACTTAATGCGCAGCAGATTACTGTGGGGTAGATTTACACCCCGCATTGCCACAAACTAAGGGGCAATGTGGGGTTTACAGAAGTCCTTAGGCTATGTCTACACTACATACTATGAATCTCAGCTTGCATAGACATACCCGTACTAGCTCTCATGTGAGCTAACGTGCTAAAAATAGTAGTATGGCTGTGGTAGCATGGACAATGGAAGCCGTGGTAGCAGGAGCTAGCCGCCTTGAGTATATACCCTCCTGAACACCAGGGGTGGGTACTCGGGGCAGCCAGTCCATTCCACTGCTGCCCAGGTTACCACAGCTACTCTATTTGTAGTGTTCTGGCTCAGATGAGAGCTATCATGAGTATGTCTACACAAGCTGGGAATCACACCACTAGCTCGTAGTATAGACATAGCCTTAGTGTGGACATGGGTCAAACCTGCAGTGATTCTTAAACTGATACAGCATGGCTAGTGAGGACACAGAAGCAGTTCAGTGCAGTCAGTTTAATTACAACAGGTTCAGTTCCCTGAAGTAGACCTGGCCCTGCTCCAAGGACCTTCACATTCTTAAGGAATTGTTGAGAAATGAGCTTGGACAGACTCCAGTGCCGCCTTCTATAGCTGGACTGGCTCTGCAAGGCTTACAGTAATAAAAAGCAATACAAACATATTGTCACCAAGGCTTTATCTACATTTGGGAAATTTTCCCCAAAATCCAATCTGGTTTTAAAACTGATTGGAACTGCACTGGTTCCAGAAGGCAAGGCCATTTTTATAGCCTGCTTTCTGAGGGTTTCACTAATTTGAAGAATAATTCCACCTACGGTAGCCTTGTCTATGCTGCAGCTCCAGCCATTTTTGAAACAGTTTGAATATTCAGGTAGATTTCTCCACTGTAGACTAGTCTGAAATCCAGCAGATCTGACTTTAAATACACAGAAGGAAAGTTTGTGAAAGTAGAAATGTGCCATTTTTATAGAGGAACTTTTCTAACCAGAGCAGAATATTATTTATACTTATAGCACTTTCCATACTGCAGTGAGATTTGTAAGGAATTTAAAATAAAAATGGGTTTTTTACTCTTTTAAGGTCTGAAGAAGCAGTTGGAAATCAAACCAACTTCTGTGGTGCTTGTTCTCTTGCAGGATGTGTCTGGTACGAATGAAACAGGAGGGTCGAGCTGGAAAATACATGTGTCGCTATATAGTTCATTCTATGTGGGAAGACGTTGAACAGCGTGGTAAGGTGATGGGGGTAAGTCATCTTTGTCTGGTGTTGACTTTCTTGATTATTTTGATGACACAAACCATTTAATGCCTTGTGACCTGGCACACATTAGAACAGTGGCTGTGGGATTAAGGTGGAGCAAGACTTGGTCTGACTGGTTTCAGCTGGGATTTCAGTATTCCATGTACCCAGGACAGTGGATGGGAGCAGGGAGAGAGGACAGAGTTTCTATATAATGCTATAACTAACCACAAATACAATCTACAGTTTGGATTCTCTGCATACTGGTCCTGATCTCAGAAGGGAGCTTATAAAGCTTCAAGGGCAGTTCAATCACAAGTTAAGGGCTTAATGCAGGAAGCACTGAGTGAGGTTCTTTGGCCTGTACTATGCAGAAGGTCACCCAAGGTAATCACAATGGTCCCTTCTGGCCTTAAAGTTTTTGAATCAGAGTGTGCCACTCCATACCAGCATTGGCCTGCGCCTCAGAGAGTGCAATGCATGGGGCAGCAGCACTAGGAGATGACCTTCACAAACCTTGAAGTATAGTGACCTCCGCAGAGCCGATGGAAATGAATGTCCTCATCTTCACAGGACTCCAGTACTTTTGCAGGGCAATGGTTGGATGGGGAGGCAATGTCTATTGTGACTTGTATTGGGAAAAGAGGGAACTGCGATTATGCTATTGCTGGGGAAAAAAGGGATTGTTCAGGATTAAAATAAATAGAACAAATAGAAAACCCAGAAGGGTTAATATACCAGTTGGCCTATATG